AAAAAGTTCCACTAGTTAATTAATACAAATAAATATACTGTTGTTCATAGACAGTCTTTTGTGTAGATGTATTAAAACATATCATAATCCAACTCTGGAAAAAGTTAACCTATTTGATGCCCAAACAAGATGTCTTTTTTTGAATTCTATTCCCTCTAGACATTAGAATTTCCATGATATCAGAGAAGAAATGCACTTTCGAAGTACAATTGGGCTGCAAAGTATAAGGAAAACCACCACAGACTACTTAACAAAATATTTTAACGGCCATTAAAATTACACTGTAGTACAGGCCAAGTCATACTCATCTTATAACACCTTCATTACCTGTCATTGAAATTGATGTGTATAGTTTCATACCATGATATGCTTCTGTATTTCTAAAACATTCTTAATGAAGGATTTCATTTTCCAGGAATTAACCTTAATCATAAAACAATTAATTATATAAATAGTAAGAAAAAAATTATTCATGGTTCTAAGCTCACCTAAGGAGCCCTGATGGTGCAACGGTTAAGCGCTTAGCTACTAACAAAAAGGTTGGCTGTTCAAACCCACCCAGTGGTTCCCCAGGAGCAAGACCTAGTGCTCTGCTTCAGTAAAGATTATAGCCAAGAGAATCCTAGGGGCAGTTCTACTCTGTCACATGGGGTCACTATGAGTCAGAATTGAATCGACAGCATTCAACAACAATAACAAACTCATGTGATGCACGATGCCTCTCTTGACTCCCCCTAACGGTATTTCTTCCTCTGTTGAAACTCCATAGCTATTGTTGCAGTTATGAAGCTTAAACTTATTTTATTCCACTTTATATTTTAGTGACTTAGAGTTCCCTAATTTTCCACAAATACATTGACAATTGCTGCTTCTGTAAGTCAGAGTCACTGAGTTATATATCTTTGTATCGTTCCCACCCTCAGCATGCCACATAATTCCTTGAAAATAGTAGGCAACATATATGTTGATCTGAATTCACCAAAAAAAAGTATTTCGGTATGCCAAGAGTTCAGCTCCTAACCAAAAGGTCGGCAGCTCGAATCCACCAGGCACTCCTTGGAAACCCTATGGGGCAGTTCTACTCTGTCCTTTAGGGTTGCTATGAGTTGGAACTGACTCAACAGCAGTGGGTTTGGTTTTGTTTTTCAAAAGCCACCTTCTCCAAAAGGTCCGCAGGAAGTGAGTTATGTTTTGGCACATATGAATATTTAAGCTTTATGAAAATCATACTAATTTACCAAATATTTTCTCATTATAAATAATATTTCAACATTTCTTACATAGCCATTAAAAATTCAAATAATGAGAATCTTTGCTGCTAGGTACAATAGTTGCAACTTCCTAATCTGATGCATAGTTATATTTTAAATTACCTGAAATCATTAAAGTTTTCCTTGCTAATGTAGTAAGAGTGCCATAAATAATGTAAATTAACAGATTTTGTATGGTTAACTCCTAAGAAATGCAAGAAAAACATTTTTTTCTGTAGCCAAAAAAAAAAAACTGTGTGTTTATAATGTAAGGTGGAAAAACAGAATTTAACAACAGATTTATTCTTAATACATTATTTGCAGAGGACCACTTATTTATGCATTTACCCAGAAAACACTGGCAAGACATCTACGCCACACCACATGTGCCTGGCAGATGTTGGTTGCTGAGGCTGTGAGGATGAACCAGATGAAGCCTTGTCTTCCAGAAGCTTATACTACCGTAAAATCATAAAAGACAACGTAAGTAGTAAGGGGACATTGGGGTCATCACTGATCAGGGGAGCTGGGAAGAGTTTCACAACAGAGGTAACATTTGAACAGGGTTTTAGGTTTAAGCTCTATTCTGCAGGTTTCAAGGCATTTTAAGGATGTGAAAGCAACAAAACCTGCTGTTTGTCTTTAGAAAGGGACTGGGGAAAGAAATCGCTCATCTAACAACAGTCTAGCCAACAAATGAGGACCTGGTTGGGTGTAAGGAATCAGATTTGGAAGGTATTTGCAACATAGAATCAATGGGACTTGAGGATAGATTTGATGGGGTTTGAGAAACATGAGTCAGAATGACATTTAGGCTTTAAGCTTGGCCGACTGGATGATGACATTAAATGAAATAGAGATTATCAGGAAGCAGGTACTTTTTGAGCATCTTCTATGCACCAGACACTGTTCTAGGCACACAGCATTAAACGAGACAGATGAAGTCTGCTGTCATTCTATTCAGGGGAAGAACAGTAAACAAATTAATCAACTGAGACAGTGATAAACGTGAGAAGAAAATAAAACAGGGTATGTGATAGTGACTGGGGGAAGGGACGCTTTAGCTGAAGTAGTCAGGAAAAGTGACACTAGAACTAAGACTTAAATGATAAAGAGGCAGCCAAGTGAAGATCGGTAAGAATGGGGTAGCAAATGCAAAGGCTGAAATAGGAAAGAGCTTAACGTGATCAGGGGACAGAAAGGCGGCTGCTGTGTGGGGATGGGGAGGTGGGGAAGGAGGACAACAAGATCACAGGAGCATGGAGTTCCTTATAGCCTGCTGTAAGTTGCTTATAATTTGTTCTAGTTACAGTGGGTAGCTAGCAGAAGACTTTAAGACAAAGAGTGATGTGATCTGATTTATATCGCTACTTTCTGTGTGAAAGATGGACTTAAAGGAGGAGAATGGAGGTACAGTCAAGGTAAAAAAAATTACAGTGGTGGCTTAGACTAGGGTTCCAATGGTGCTGAAGTGAGAAGCAGTCAGATCCTGGATATAGAAGTAGAGGTGACAAGACTCAGTGATAGACTGAATGTGGAGTATGAGGGAAAGAAAGGAGCCAAGGCCACCTCAGAGGTTTTTATTCTAAACCACTACATTCCTGTGGCCATCCAGTTGATTCTGACTTCACAGTGACTGTCTAGGGCAGGGTAGAACTGCCCCAAAGGGTTTCCAAGGGTGTAATCTTTACAGAAGCAGACTGTCACATCTTTCTCCCACAGAGTGGCTGGTAGGTTCAAACCACCGATCCTTCAGTGAGCAGCTGAGTACTTAACCACTGAGCCACCAGGGTTCCTTAAACCACTACATAGAGGTGGTGATATTTACAGAGATGGTGAAAACTTGCGGGGAGAGAAGCTTCAGGGTGGTAGGGCCAGGAAGCAATAGTTCTGCTTTGGCCAAGTGAAGGCTGAACTGTCTAGAAACTTGTAAGTGAAACGGCACGTAGGCAGTTGGATATTAAGTTCAGGAGAGACGTTTAGCAGAGATACACTTTGGGAGTCATTAGCCTCTACATGGAATTTAAAGCCATGAGATTGGATAAGATCCTCAAGATAGAGCAGGGGGGTGGGGAGCATGCAACTATATTTTTTGTTTTTGTATTTTTAAAGGAGGAGAATAATGAATTCCATTTTAGACACTTAAGGTTGAAGTAAACGATTATTTGGCTTGGCTGTGGTGAATCATATACAGCCTCTAAAAGTAGTTTATTATTATTCTTGTGCATCGTGATTTCACCCTATAGTCTCACTGTTTCATTTTTGCTACATCTGTGAAATCTCTGATAGCTAACACCGTTCTCCCAGTTATTCATATAGAAGGCGCTTTTGAAATATTCATTATGAGTTTATACATCCAGCTTTAATGATTATCGGAGAGGCTAGAAAGTAGCAGAATAATGACCTAGTTTCAAGTCTCTAAGGATAATAGTTCAAAAGCTTCTTTCTTCAGAACTAGTCTTGGAATTCTTTCTATCAATGAATCAACTTTGAAAAATAATTGTGTTCTGAAGACATATCTAATGAATCATATAACTAAGTCATTAAACTCAAGTAATCATGGATGATTTCTGAACCGTGCTGGTGGTTCTTTCTCAAGCCCCAAATACACCATCCTTTATTTCCTATCACAGATGCTACTCAAGGTCAGCACTCACTAAATGTTTGGAATAAATGGAAGAGATCAAGTTGCTTCAGTGTACAGGCTGGACATTTTTCTTTCCCCACTACATCTTCAGCTCTTGTACAACACCTCGAATGCAGTCAGTGTTTAATAAGTATTTACTACATGCATGAAGGAAAGAATGAATGTACAATTTTATGGCAAAGATTATTTTTTTCTTCCTCTTCATAATTTACTTCATATCTAACTTATTTAAATATATTTTTCTTGATGATAAAATCTGAATATAAGAAATAATCTTTTCTTAAAATAAATATTACTTAGCTTACAGCTTATGACTGTATTAATTCATTCATACAACACATCTTGTTGACTGCCTACTCCATGCTAGGCATTGTGGATACAGTGAGGAACCAAACAGCCAGGTCCCTGGCCTCACTCTCGTCTGCAGCAATATCCTCACATGCCACAAGCAGAATACAAGTAGATGTGTGTCACCATGCAGAAAGTTTCAAATCTGTAGATATTCCTTCCACCCTAAGAGTTGACATTCCCCTTAATTCTTTATGTTTCTACATAGAATACAGAAAGTGTCCTAGCTAGATTTTCGAGTACCCATAAGGAATAAAGAGTTTTCCCATGTGGAAAGGAAGAAAGAAATGCTCGTTGTTGTACAGAGCACTGTCAGAGAATTCACTTTGATGCTGGAAGCAGCAAGGCAATGTAGTTCTGAACAGCTTAATTTTCAAACCTTTCCCTATGGGTTCATGGAAATTCTACAATTCTAATTATTTTGTTTAGAAATATTACCTAGTTATTCAAATGTATCATAAAATATTCTGTCAATTAAAAATAGTTCAAATGTTTAACTTAAGTGCTCTATTCCTTCTTTTTCAACAGAATGCTTTCATTCCAGTTAGGAAATCGTTAGCCCTTGGGAAGTCACTGCCTATACGGCTATCCTTTGGCTTTCAGCAGATCACTTGTTTCTTTAGAAGAAACTCAATGGTGTCTAGGTGTTTGTCTCCATAGCAAGAGTAGATGTTACTTTTATCCTCAGAGGACTATGCAATCATACTGATGTGTTCAGTTTCACTCCAAAGGGACCCTCGTCGTGTATCACTTACCTCCAAAGGTTGGTTGCCTTCTACTTCTGAACTTTTACCTCTTGTTGCCACTCTCTCCTCCTCTGCTGTATCTCCTATGAAGCAAAAGAAAAACAAACAAATACATAAAAACTTTACCATACTATTGACGTGAAATTGTCTTCTATTTGTTTGAAATACCTTCTGTTAGTAAATTATATGTTTCACATTGTGGAAACAACCACTACTGCTTCCTTTGGTACGAAGTTAACAAGTTAATTTTTATGAACAGTAATTTTATAAGGGTCTCCTAAATCATCCATAAAATACACAGACACATACCCTAAACCAGAAATGTCTCCTGCTTTACATTTACAAACATAAGTAAGTACAGGCCTAATTTACTAATGGTCTATTTTAATTTATTAATTATCACTAATGGTCTGTAATTAACATGTGGTATGTAGACATCCAATTAGCCTACTTTTTTGAAGTATGATGACAGGTTAATTTATTAATTTGCAAGCTGCTCTTTCAATAAAATTTAGCCAGCTCAGGAATGTCCACAACCAGGAAGATTACCAAATTCATGGATGATGGTTTGGCTGACACTAAAGGTGAGGAATTTGCTAATATAAGGAAGACAGCAAAGTATGAAAGTCTTGGCTGAGCTTAACTACTCCATACAAAACGCAAAAGTTTAGTTTATTAATGTCAATAACAAAGGAAGAGCCTCATGAAAATTTTAAAGGATTAAATACAACCTTGTTAAATTCTAAAATCATGATGTGAGAATTAAATTAGTAGTTTATTTACCTAAGACAAATTAACTCCCCAAAATGTTTACAATCCAAGCACATCAACGCATATTCCAGCCTATCAGTTTTGTTCTCAGCTGTGTATGACATTACTATTGTTGGGCAATAGTATGTATGTATGTAATTAATGTATGTAATTATGTATGTAATTAATGCAGAAAATAGTCGGTAGTGGATTTTTTACTATTGTCATAAATGTGAAATGTCAGATAACACGACAGTCAATAAGTGAGCAGTAGGTGCACTTCAGTTTTCCAACAGCAGGTAACTCATATTTATAGGCTGAAATTTTTCAAAATTTCATTTGTAAGACAGCTGTTTAAAATGCAGAGCAAAAACAACCAACATTTTTACAATAGCATATTTGATTCTCACTCAGGCACAGTAAGATAGATACTTCACCCCAGGTGAGTGACCCATGAAGGGCAGAAGCACTCAGTGACTTGCCCAAGGTCTCACAGGTAGAAGATGGTTGCAACAGGAGTAGAAAAACATGGTCTCCTAACACTTCTGGGGACTCATGGGGCTAAGGTGGGAGGAATCAAGTCTCTGAGTTAGGGAACTGGCTGTGAAGAGAAGAGGCAGGACCTTGGGCTAGTCCAATCCCACAGAGCCCCAAATACTTCATTCCACTCCTTTTTTCTTTCATAGTTCCCATGGATCATCTGCTTTCCTCCTTTTCCACTCATGACACGAAGTACTTCAGACCAAAGCAAGCCTCTCTCCTTCCTTCTGGTCCTTAAAGCAAATAAAGATTCCACTTGATATTCTTGATATTCTCAGGAATTTGTAAGGCTGTAAGGCTAGAAACAATTTTACAAGAGGCAAAGTCCCTCTTATACCACAATCATGCAATTTTCTTTGTTACAAATGTGCCTTCTTAAAAAAAAAAAAAAAAAGTCTTCTATTTAGAGTCAGTAAATGGTTAGGCTACACATACATACCAATGAAGGTCTTCTAGAACTTAGACTGAAGTAAAGTTCATCTATATTTTAGAGTGGGAGTCAGCAAATGTTTTTCTCTGAAGGGCCAGACAGTAAATATTTTAGGCTTTACAGGCCATATGGTCTCTGCCAAAACTTCTTAACTCTGCCATTGTAGCCGAATGCAGCCGTAGACAATGTGTAAACTAAAGAGTATGGATGTATTCCAATAAAACTTTATTTGAAAAAACAGGTGGCAGGCCTTAGTTTCCTGAGCCCTACTGTAGAGGAATATATGTACTCCAGCTTTTCTGGGATAAAAAGATGAATGATATCTGAGCTATACAAAGAGATGTGAAAGGAGTGATCTTTAGTATATCATCACGATCCCATTCTACTGGGGTAAGGAGAGAGAAACGGTGATGAAGAGGTGATATATAAGGAAAGGTGGAAAGGGGAGAAATCCTCAGTGATAGGAAAGGAACCTGAAAGCCTGTTTGGGTCACCCAGAGGAGATGTGAGGAGAGGTGGCAAGGGAGAGGGTAAGACAATTCATTCCTTCTCCTTATGCTTCTTTCCATGTGGAGAAGCTCTACTAACATTCAGGCCTCTCTCCATTCTCCCACTCTCCTTTCCATAGGTTGGTGGGTTTGGAAGCAGGACTTGGGAGCACGTGGTTCTGCCCCTTCCTCTTCCTTTTCTCTTAAGAGCTAGAGGACCACAGGGAGCAGGTATTCAGCTCTGATCCTCCACAGGGACCTCCTCCCACTGGAGAAAACCTGCCCTGGACCAGCAAATCTCGTGACTGAATGGAGCTCAATCTGATTCTTGGGTTCCGATTAGGAAACCCACTCACTCTCTAATATAAGCCACATTCCTCAACACCAGTTTTAGAGGCAATAAAGGTGAGAATTTGGTCTCCATCAGTTCTTTTTTACTTTTTCCTCAATTGGCCAGCTCTCATCTGGGGAAGAGAGGTGTTATTACTGGCATGTCCTTGAGACCAAGGGGATTGGGAATGGGCCCGTGTAGGCTGGGTTGGGGCCTGCCTGCGTACAGAAAAAGCTGTGAATACAGACACAACGGTTTTCTTTTTCTTTTCTTTAATCAGAGGAGATTTATCTAGAATCCCATTTCTGATAATATGACCTGCAAAACACTAGTTTCTAGGATGTTCACAATAAAAAAATATTTTATGGTCAAAAGTATGAGAAAAATTGCAGAGTGCACACATTTCCCTTGAGTTGATTCCCAATTCCCTTTGTGAGAAATTCTGTAGTAAAGAAACTTGTTTAATTTTTTCACAGTGTATTTGACTATGGAATCATTTTTTTCACCTGGTATCTACTAGACATCTTGCAGTGGTCCATGAACACACTATGGAAAATGCTGATACAACATTTCTTTCTTTTTTTTGATATAACATTTCTGAAGTTAAAACTGATTTTATAAAATACGTAACTTTTACTTGAATGTCCAGACAACCCTCAACAGTGTCATATTTATTTTTCAGCTTTTGAATATACATTTTACACGATGCTAATACACACTCTTCTACTGATGATTCTCTTCACGACTCACTGTTAAGTCATTCAATTGCATTTGGGGCTAACCAGTAGTATGTGGGAGCCCTGGTGGTGCAGTGGTTATGCACTCGGCTGTTAATCGAAAGGTCGGCTGCTCTGCAGGAGAAAGATGTGGCAGTCTGCACCCGTAAAGATTACAGCCTTGGAAACCTTATGGGGGCAGTTCTACTCTGTCCTTTAGGGTCACTATGAGTCGGAATCAACTCGATGCCAATGAGTTTTAGCAGTATGTGACTGTATTCTACTACATAATTCCAATTCCAGAATAGCTGATAATCTACAGAGGAGAAAAGGATAGCCAGGTACCTTGAAGACACAGGAGAAAGCCCCAGTGCTCAAAAATATCTCCCCCACAAATTCCACTAATTGGAGATTCATTAGGGTTAATGAGCGCCTCTTTTAAAATGCAAATACCCTCTGGGAGTGTTTGCCTATTAGTCATTCACCAAGTGAAGTAGTGGAAAGAACAGTGGAATGGCCACACCATTAACTCTTTTTCATTCCTCAGTCACACACTCATTACACAAGACAGCCTGGCACAGTGGAAAGAGGATGGTTTTGGAGTCTGACAGAACTCGACCCAAATCCTTTACCAAATCTATAACTTTGGGCAACTTACTTAACTTCTCAAGAACCTCAAGGTCTTCATCTGAAAAATGGGGATGATACGTTACAAGGTCGTTACAAAAAGTAAATGAGACAACTGCAGAGAAACGGGAGGGGAGCTGGGACAAGATAAATGCTTTGTCATAAGTCTTGGTGTCAGTGATGGTTCTGCCTTTGTTACATAGCTTTTGCTATAATTCAGCATGGAAGAGGGCAATGGCCTTACATGTCATCTCATTTAATGCCCATGACAGTGCTGTAAGGTAGGCTTTATTATATTCATTTAACAGAGGCAGGCCTGGTGTTGGGACCAAGTCTTCTGGCAATGACAAGCCACTGCATAATTTCATGTTGCCTCCCATTACTTATCAAAGCTTGAGTTAAATTATCCAGCTCAATTTAATACACATTTATGTCTCCTCTAGCTCAGTTTAGTTATCCTTCTAATTTTTCTAATTCTGCCTATTTAATACCTGTCTATTATTCACCAAAATGAAGAAAAAGGAGGAATGGACATATACTAAAATATCCAAGAGCTGAAGAGATGACCTGCCTAGGAGCCGGCTGCTGTAGGGTCAGGATTCTCTTGACAACTGTTATAACCCCAAAGGAAAATGAGGCAAGGATAGGAACAGTTAAGCCATATGGGGAGGAATGCAACTAGCAAACAAATATGGGAAAAGGTTTAAGCTGTCTAGGAATTAAAGAAAAGCAAATTAAAATGGCACTGAGCACATATTAATTTAGTATATCTCAATTACTACACTCAAATGTTGCTGAGGATGAAATAAAACTGGCACACTGGCATCATTCTGGTAACAAAGTGAATGCTCAATAAACATCTGTTGATTTGACTGTATGTGAGAGAGGACAGTAAGGAAGATCATTTGACACATAAACTCCCTAAGGGCTTATAAAAAGAGTTATAAATGGTTGCTAAAATATGAAGAAAATTTTAAATTAAGGGTCCAACAGAGCAAGCAACCAATTTTATTAGATACTGATGTGAATCGTAATTGTGATACATATTTCTATACAATTTTTAGGCATCGTGTTTGATTTTAATCTTATCATTATGTGCTATTAAAACACACAGTTAATATCTTGCTTACTACCTTAAAAGCTTAAGGTCCCACTGAATACTTCAGGGCACTTACTCAGGGAAGGAAGAATACCAGCAAAT